TTTTGACATGTCTGAAGCAAAGGTTAAAATCATCTCTCGGATGGACATTGTTTCTATAATATTGCCAACTGCAAAGCTCCAGTATGAACAAGCTCAGAATGATGTGAAATATTTCTAATACAAATTTTATTTTTATGTGAAACTATTCAAATGCTGCTGTACAACATGAACTACCTGAACCAAATCAAATCCTCAGGTCAATTCCTTCTTCCGAGTGCTCCTTAGATAACAAAGTCTTGTTCTGCGAATCTGTTCAATATATTAAAGTTGATTCACTCGGACAGTGTGTAAGATATAATACATTAATCTGGGCCATTTCAATTTCTGAGGCTGGGACTATAAAACTGGTGTGCTGCATATCTAATTTTTTTTTGAATACCTGATTTATGCATCCCTCTGATGCAGAGTGTCGATGGTATGGTGGATGCGGCTGCTACATTAACAACGGGCTGCATCAGCACTCAAATCTTATCTTGTTAAATCAGACAAATGTAGCTCAATGAAAAGGAAGGAATAAATGCCTGGGATGGTTGAAAGGAGTGAATTTTAATCCTGTTTGTTAGGGGACTTTCATGGTGTGGGCTGTATGACTAAGAAAGGAGTGTCTACCAAGTTTACAGGAATATGAATTATTATATATATTACATATGTACATGCATATACACATTCAGTATGTATGTACATACACACAGTTTGTCTCTCTCTCTTTACACACACACTAAATTTGAAAAGCAGTTACCACCTGTCTGAGAAGTAAGACTATATTTATAAAGCCTAGATTCATTTATTTATATGTCTAGAATAATTAGAATAATTGGTTTTGTACATAATATTATCTTTTTCAATCAAAAAAAGTTACCACATGGGTTAAATACCCAGCAATGGAATAACTTTTCTCTGTGTGTGTGTGTGTATGACTTATAGATAGACTGAATACTGTTGTAGTTCTAAAGACAACCAATATTAATTCTCAAGAAAAAAATGATCCTATATGTGCACAATCAACAAGACCTTTAGCAGAAAATCTTTATGCCAGACAAGGAAAAGTTTTGTTGATGTACTTAGCTGACTTGGCCTAGGCATATGCAATAAATGGAATGCATTGTAGGAATTAATTCTTGGGGAGGACCCTGCATTAATTTAAACACAATTCTCTAATAAATTCTTGCAGCTCAGCTTCATAAATCATAGGTCAATAAAGAACCTTTGTTTATTTACCAATAAAGATGTGTTTGGAAATGGTCAAGCAACATAGTACAATTGCAAAAAGATATGCCTATTAGAGCTCAAGCATCACAAAGTAGAACAATTATATAAGGAGTCGAGTTGTAGCTGGAATTACTTAATTGGCTCAAAGATGAACTTTCATGCTCAGTGACACTTTGAAAACATATTATTTAAACATAAGTCAGTTTAGCTTTCATTGGCCGTTATCCTTTCCACAGTGGCTAATTATAGAAGAAAAGAATGTTATAAATAGTAGATCTCATCCTCACAACCTCTTCCCTAGCATGTTAAACTACAGGGTCACAGTCCTCTGTTTGTAACATTATTATCTGTTGTTGTGAGAATAGTTATGATGTCACAACCAAAGAATTGTGGTTGATTAGTATTAATGAGCAGGAGGACTGAAAAGAGACCTTTAATGCACAAGTACTGTAGATAACAATGATCATGTCTGAAAAAGATCTAGGAATGAATACTTGAAAGTATATGAAAATCTATTTGAATATTGTGTTTTCATTTCTCTTTAGACTGAACATGAAAGTTCATCTTTCAATTCACGACATGTAAACATCTTAGAGTTCCAATCTCAAATTAACTTAACCCAGCATAAAAACAAACAAACAAACAAAGCCAGTGAAAGTGGCAGGTTTAAGCGATAGAAGAGTGCACATGAGAGAGTTATTATAAACCCATTCTGATCCAGTTTTCCAGAAATGGCTGGGATATGCGGTTCAAAATGTGCACAACCTAATGGTGAAGCCATAATACAAAAATGGTACACAGTCCCACTTATACCAAATGTCAAAACACCTTTCCTGTAGAATGTACAATTAAGGAGTGTGTGAACAAATTGAAAACTGAATTTCAGCTTAGAAAACAAAGAGAAAGCCACATCGAAGGGAGAAGTTCAGCATCTCACAAAGGATTAGGTTCATGGGACTTACTGGCCTTGAGACTCACAATACAGTTCTAGTGCCATAGGCCTTAATTCTGTAGACAGCAAAGTTCTGGTTCTCCACTAACCAGGTGAATACCTAACCTTTCAGAAAGAAAGACCCAGCCCTTTAGTAGGAGGGAGGAAAAGGAGTATTTATGTGACATTTAACTGTGACATTGCACTACACAGTGCTCAGCTTGCAGGGTTCCACTGATGGGATGCCTGAAGTATTGTTGGTGTCTACCATTCCCAGTGAATCTCGCTCTGGGCTGAATGCTCTGTTAAGGAAATGGGGTGGGGAGGCAAATAAAATGGACAAGCCTTGGGGAAAATACAGATAAAGTGAGCAAATCAAGATAATTGTGCTAATTATCATAACAAACTAGAGATTTTGTTTGCAAGGAGGTCTTTTTTTTTTCCTTTTTTTGGTTATGTGCATGATGCTGTGTATGCATTCAGGGCAAATAAATTGAGTTCCAGGCCTCACTAGATGCTTGAATTTCTGTCAAAGTGGCTCCATTACATATGTGTCCCTCAGGGTCAGACTGCATTAGCCGACTCCTTTATTCCATACATGATGAACTAAGGAGTCAGCGGAGTGTATTCCAAAAATGCCTTCATAACAGATATTTTTCAGTGTCCATAAGAACTTCAGCTCAGTTTTAAGTGTTTTTTGTTTCTTTTTTTATGAGAGAGAAAAATAAAACATGAAATGTCTCTAAGGTCACAGAACATTGACCTCATTGGCTGGGCTAATTTGATTGTGCCAGAACAATAGCACTGTACTCCTCTGCCAGCGAAGTGCATGCTAATTATGCGATTTGCCCTTGATAAGACCTTGGTGGGTCATTCAGCAGTTGTGATCTGTCACTGACTTCTAATCATGTATTATCGTCTGGGTGAGTCAGAATGGTACCCTAAGCTTTCTGTCTTTACAGCAATGTGGCACTCTAATTACCTTATGCCAAGTGGATATGCAGAGACTGAATTAAGTGATCACTGTGATTGCCTTCAAAATCTTCTCTTTATCCTTTGTGTTGCTTCTCTGCAATTTACATTTTAAGATGCCGAGAAGCTTTTGGTGAGACTGAAAATGCCACTCTAAAAATAATGATTTTTTTAATTTAAACAGGATAATACTAAATTTAAGCCATCCCAATTCCTATCAGTATTTACATGGTACTATATAATAAACCTCAATAGGAACCCTTTAGTAAACTTGTTGGAAATTATAATACATCCTTTATCTTTTCATCTGCAAACAAAAGAGGAACAAAAAAGGGAAACCTTTTTCTCTCCAAAGTTTTAACTGTATTCATAATTGTTACTTAATAAGCAAAAATTAATTCCAAACCATTGTTCCACATTTTTATAAAGCTTGTCAAATGTATTCTCTAATATAACCAGTGCTATAATTAAAACTTAAAGCTTGAAAAGCTTCATCACAAAATGTTCATTAACTATCGTAAAGATGAATTGACCCTTTGCGTATTTTAAATTCAGTAGTAAATTTCTGACATATTGGTTAACTTCTTCTGTGGCAACTTGATGGATCTGTGTTATACTAACTATGATAATGCTGCTTATTTTACTCAATACTTTAAACATTTGTTATAGCTATGTTGCACTTCTCTATTGTTGCATAGCAACTCCCAAAAATTACAGAGCAATCCGTTATGGTAAACCAGTTGTATCAACATCTGTATTTGCTCAGAGAATGATCTAATGCCTTTTGCAAAAAAATGTAGAGAGACATCTGTAGGTTAACTAAACAAATTAATGATTTATAAAATTTGACAAAATACATTGGTCTGAATGATTCTTAAAAATATGAACTCTAAAGTGCTACTTGAAGGTTGTCATCAAACAGACACACACAAAAAATCACAATGCCAAATTTATTGTACCACTAACAGAAAAAAAGGATTTTCAAAGCTTTTCCTATATTGTACGTCAATACTGCAGCATAATTTTTTTATAGAAACAAACTGAAAAAAATAGTCAATAAAAATCATAAAGGACAATTGAGAAAAAATTGCAAGCCTTATTTTCCTTGAATCACATGATGCACAAGGAGCATTATTTGCTGAAAGCTTGGTTTGAGTTAAAAAAAAAAAAAGAAAGAGAGAGAGAGAAAGAGAGACAGCCTAGGAATAAGATGCATTCCCTGGGTGGCAAAACAAAAGAGCCCAAGGAAAAAAAAAAGCTGCAGAAAGTTGACACAGTCAAGAATAATGGCTAAATCTATCAAGTTTGATCAGGTCTGCTATAATGAAGTGGAGCTTCATATTCCAAGCAGGGACAATGAAGACAGAAGTCAGGCTCTAGAAATGTGCTGCTCACTTTGTGCTTGGAATATGCAGCAGCCAGCAGGGAGCCACGAGATAATTACACAGTATTTGTGTGGTTCCAGGAAGCTTCCTGCGCAGGTTGAATGCCCGCGCTATATTAAAAGGCAGCACAGTGAAATGTTTTTAATGAATATTTTTGTCAGAGAAAGAAAAGGCATTTGAATGATTTTTGTGTGTGCAGGGAACCAGAGGTGGAACATCACTGTCAAAATACAGGTACCTTTATTTATGTTTATTCCATTATTTACAGTTTCAAGAGCCTAACGTCCTTTCAATAATACAAATCACAACACCAGGTTAATGTTATTAGGGCTAATTGCACATACAATCCCTTAACTAATGCTTGCTGCTAATATGTTTCATTGAAATCCTACCTCAGACTGCGGCTTGAAACTACTTTTATTTTTTATTTCCAATAGCATCTGAAATATTTAGACACATTTAATCAGAAAACTCAAAGAAGTAATACAGATGTTGATACTTACTATTCAGTAGCCCTTGGCAGTGATAGATCTAAAACATAAGAATACATTATTTCAGCACTCTGTAATTCTCACCTAACAGATGTGAATAATCCACTGAATTGAAAAACCCAGACATGATACTCATAAATGCCCTCTTTTAGTTTATTTTGCAGTGCAAGTAATGGAATTGATCAAAAACTAGACTTGGCTGGAAAATTAATTTGAAAGATTTTTTCTGTCTGATTAAAATATTATTACCTACACATAAGCCAGTTCATGGTTTGTTTTTGTTTTTAAATTCAGATCAGTTCTGTTATCCTAGAACTGAGGCAACTTGTTATGTACTGCTCCATATTTTCATGTAAGATTAAATAAGACCTTTCTTTAGCTTTTAGGGATGGCTAACTTCCTTACAAGAAACACAAATACACACACAGGCTGACTCTCCAAGGTATCTGGAATTTGCAAAGGTTTTTCCAGCATTAAAGCTTTAATCATTTTTTAAAGTAGTATTGTGGTAAATATTCAAATTACTCCAGTAGAGATAAGACCAGCAGTTGAGAAAAAAGGGCCAGCACTTTGTATGACATGAAAGCAGGCCTCTCCAGTTCTACCACCTGAATTCCATGCACCTTTCAGTCTAAAGGCAACCTTAATGCCAAGATTGACTGCACCACACCTAAAGTGGGGGGAACGTTGTCTGGGCTTGCCAAGGGAAGGCAGCTGTGCTTTATGGCCGGGGGGAGGGAGGGAATGATGTCAGAAACTGCTGCAAAAGGTGGTAATGATTTGAATAAACATGGATTTGCCTGCACTGTACACTTTATCTGCCGGGTCGTCCCAGACATCTATATAATAAAGTTGCAGCCTGATTAAAATCCATATCAAGTGTCTCCTCTTCTTCTTTTGGTACAGCCAGACAACTAGCCTACTGATTATCAACAGTAAACAAGAGTGAGATGTTTTTGTTTCTCTTTACTGATAGTCTTAAACAGTGCATTTTTATAACCCACATCTCTTCTTCTCACAAAGAATAATTGCCAGACAACTTTCAAACCAGGATTGTAGCTGAGAGGAGCTACATCTCCCAAACCTTGAGAGTTGATGGCCCATCTGAAAATAAATAGACTCCTTAACAGAAGATATAAATAGTATTTTCAAACCATTATTAGCAGGGGCCTTCTTGCCCTCAAAAGACCATTTTTTCTGAGGTTTGTATTGAAATGTTCCCCTTTGCAAGCAATTATACTAATACTCACCAAAACAACAACAACAAGCAAACAATAATTTAGGGAGGTACCTCTTTTGTAACCAGAAAATTATTAGTCTTCTTTGAAGAAACTCACAAGTCGACCTAATGTCATGAACAAAAACTGACAACCCCAAAAGAAATGTGATTTCTCTTTTTAAAGACACTATAAAGTTGTAGATCCCAGTTGATAGAGACCTTGGCGTTCTGAATAATAAATATTTAATTCATGAAGAACATTTCAATTTCCTAATATTCCATAATATAATAAACATGGGGCAAATTTTACCCCTAGAATAACTCCATAGAGTATCTAATGGAGTTACAGTAGGGTGAGTTTAGCCTATTGAGTTCAAATTTATGACTTATATATTGTTTTTACTGAAATGAAACACTGACCTCCGATACATTTCAGTCCACAAATACTGGTATAGACTCATTTCCTATCAACAGGTTTTATTTTTTCAATGGCATAACAATGGAACTGCCTTGAATTATTTACTTCCAGTTCTGTAGGTATCTGAGGCCTGATTCTGCCCCATTAGAAGTCAATGGGAGTTCTGTCAGACATCAGTAGGTACGGAATGTGGTCCCTACTGTGTTAGGGAACAGTGAAAAGACAGTAAGAGGGTTTTATATTACCTCCTTTTTGTTTTGCATTCTTACTGTTGCACAACAGAAAGGTGCATTTACAGAAATAATCAAAGGGATTGAGATAGAAATAGCTGTGTTATATTTTGTCAGCGACCTAAGTGAAACTTCTCCCCTATTCTTTGTCTATAGCAGCTCTTATTTAAACAGGAGCTGTTGCAGTGACTAAATGAAGAGGTAAAGAGTTGTCACATTTAGAGCCCAAATGAAGATTCTAACCTATATTCCAAACCACTGAGCAAACAAGATGTTGAAGAACCCCCTGTACTATAACTGATTAGAGGGCATTAGTTCATTGGTAGTAGTTTTCATTTTATTTTTGGTCAGTTCTTCACTTTTTGCAGTTCTAAATGTTGGAGCCAGCTCTTAAATGGAAAGGGGAAGCATAGTTACAACTTTGGAGCTCAAGTTGTCTGAGGTTGCTTTTTGTGATTAAACTCTTTTGCTGTAACCAAGGCACCTAGAATAATGTTTACAACTAATTTTTGTTCAGTTCCACGTGGCCCTCTCTACAAAATATATTTGTACATAGTTAAAAAGAACTAACTAGATTATGTATTTAAAGAATTGAGCTTTCACATACCACATCCATGATATGTGGAGCCTAGATTGTGCATTTTTATGATCATTTTTATGGTTCTTTCAGATGATTAATAAAAATAAACACAGAGGGCCAAATTCTTCTTTCATTTATACTGGTAACTATCTGACATAATTCCATTTAAATCAACAGAGTTGCACCAGATTCACACCAGTGTGACAGAGAACTGAATTTACTAAAGTCTATGGAGTCTCTCTCTATTTACACAGAGTGTAAATGAGAGCAGAATTTGGCCTCTAAAATTAACAAAAAAAATCTCATTCCAACCACTATCAGAGATATGATTTTTTTTTTAAATAGCCATTCAAGGATCTAGAAGTTTGTTTAATTATCATATATTTTGCATTAATACATTTAACAGTCATTTCGCCCATATTAACAAGTACATATCCCCATATATAAGTAATGTTTGGGAATACCACTATTGCTTTCCAGTCCCATTACATGAGATGAGCTTTGTATCAAAGAAAGAGGCTCATCTCCATCTTCCCTGCTTTATTTTATTCAACTAGTTCTTTTTTCACATTGTTATATCCAGTGAATATAGCACGGTTGGATTCAGAAGAGAACCTTAAGCGTTATCATAATGCTTAGAAGCAATGGCTTCACACTGTATAATCTATCAAAGGTGTCAGATTTACAAAATGCAGATTTTCTGTCACATTTGGGCACTATAAGCACTGTATCTTTTCACTAAGGTGCTGACTGCTGTTTTAATGAGGCCCTTTGGTGGCTGTAAAAAACTGAAAGGAGAGGATTATAGGGGTTACCCTAGGTATTGTCTATTTGTCTTACAAATTTCACACTAACTACCAATTACATCGCCATAAACCTTTTGGCTACTTCAAGCTATATGCCATATAATACATAAAAAATATGCTATGTTAACCTCTTCCATATTATACGAGTAACTACAGCCACTGATGCAAGTAACATATCTAATGAAGCCAATAATGAGCCTCTTTAAAAGTAGTCTTGTTATAGGAATAATATTAGAGCAGTTCAGTTAAAGGCTAAGGTCCATTATGGCACGCTTCCTATGTTCTGTGGTCCCAGGTCTGAAAAGCTGCTGACACACTAATTCAAGCTCAAGAAAGGCATTAATCTCACAACCTTCCACTTGTCATGCTTAATGGGACATCCTGCCTTGGTGAAATGAACCTGATGTGTTCAGGTAAACATAATTTAATAAGGAAAGAAATAAAGAAATAGCTGGGGTCCAACATAACAGAGAAGGAAATAGTTACAATTAATGGATAAAAGAGTTGTTAATGTGTGGGTGAGAGGTATGCAATGAAGAGGAGAAAGAAGTGGAGGAAAATACAGAAGTTGTTCAAGAACACTGGAATACTTAGTCTATTAAAATGGATGTGTTCATTTAGAGGAGGGGGAAGAGGTGTGCTAATGTGGAGCTTAAGCACTTGAGTGTAAAAACAAGATCTGAAACAATACAGTATGATATTTAAAAAGCAAGCATGAATGTCAGTGAGTAACTGTACATCCTTTTTTGTCTGTCATCAATCATCAATCTAATAAGCTACCTAAATTTGTGTCACAGTTTCACATAGATATGAAATACTACCAAGCACACTGGTTAAGGAAGCATGTGCCCTACTTGCAAACCAGGTAATGCAGGCTGCATCCACCTTCTCAGGAGAAGCATGATGTGCTCTAGGGTATGTACACAGGTACAGAGTATAGAACATTACTGATCTGGTCTCCCATGATGCTGAATATAAGAGTGACTATAACCAAGCCTGGCATCCCTTCAGTCAGCAGACAATAAGATTACAAATTATGAAAATATTACCTGCTCCTTGGAAAAAACACATTTTTCTTAGCCTTAAAATGCTGTTTCTTCTAGTTTATCAATCCCATTAGCCAAACTTTTTAACGGAGGGTCATAGGCCTAAGAAGGCCAAAGTTGCTGCAAGTTTGTGTCATGGTGGGTAGTTTCACTTAACAGGAAAATTCAGGTGCTCTTCTTCTTCCCAAAATACCCAGACCCAAGGGGTCTAGTTATTCATTACACCATTGTGAGACGTTAAAAAATCCTTACTGGATAACAAGCAACCAGCGCAGAGTCACACAACAGGGCTAGAGAGTGATGGCCCCAAAAGGGAATACAATTATAAAATTACTTCTTGGTAATCAGAATGAAGGGGAGGCTTTCGAGCAAGCAGAACTTCACAACAGCTGTTACATGGCTATGCTGTCACTCAGGCTGGGAATTCTCTGTTTTCTGGGTAAGTACAGCTAGTTTTTCCTCTTATAAGCACTGCTCTCCTAAAAACCTCAATAAACTTGAGGAGGAACTTTGTGACAAATCCTTTGTTGTTGTGTTTCTTGCTGCTGCTGAGCCATGATTACAGACATTGTCCAAAACCAACTTGTGGGCTTGATTTACCATGGGAATACATTAGCAGCAACCAGAGGAACACGGGCTGCAGGCCCGCAGCAGTGGAAAGTCTATCTAAACCAGAGATGTCATGTTTAACCAACCCACAACAATTAACTCCTGGGGAGGTCCAGAATTGGCTTTCTGTTT